ATAAATCAAGGCTGCAAACAGTTTAAAAGTAATTAGAAATGAAAAGTAATAGCTAAAACGAAGAAACTTCCAATAATTTTATTTTAACTAAAACTGAAGATCGAAAACATTTTGTTAAATCAATTGAAATAAGCATAACAGGTAGAATATTATCATAGTCGAAGTATGTTCATTTTTCATAGTAATCACAGTATGCTTAAAGATTAGAGAAGATAGAAAGGTTAAATATTAATTCACATTAATTGAGAATTAAAAACAATGAAAAAATGCTTTTAACTAGCAAAAATATACTTATTTATCACTCTGAGTGTTTGAAATGTTTACTTTACTTTGTTCTCATATATTTTAGTTTTCCAGATTTACTTGAATTTATTTATCTCTTTCAATTCGCCAGAATCTTAACAACAATTGTTGATTTAGGCATTTTCTAAACAACTTCAGTGCTGTATTTTGTAAAAGGAGTTTATTTTTTAATGAAATGAGATAGAATGCGTAGATATCTTCCAAAGAAAATCAGTATCCTGTAATAATTACGCATATTTACTCTGTTCAGGAAGCTCTAGTCCCATTCTGCAATTAAAAATAAAATGTAAGCAAGAATAAGAATACATTGCTTGCATTATTCATTGTTGCTTATTTTAAAATTTTCCCCATTTTAAATTTAAAAGTGCTAACAAAGCTTAAAAACGGAAATAAAAAAACTATAGATCAATAAACTTAATTTCTAAATTTATTACGTTTTCCCTTAATTTTATTTAATGTATCACTGAAAAATTTACTTACATTTATTTTGAAATTATACTGTAATAGTATCGAAAATACAAAAGTGAGTTCTTTCCTTTTCGCTTTCATTTATTTTGAATCCATTGGGGTAATGTGCAATTACAGAGTTTTGATGAATTTGCAAAAAATTGTATGTGTTATCCAGCGAAAGGTATTCAACTTCTTGAAAGAATAACATTTTCTGTTATCTGTAGAATAAAGAAGAAACCCATAATCATTTCACCTGTTTATATTATGAATGATTTATATCCTCAGGAAAAGCAGGATGATGACCTTCTCTCTAATGCTAATGCAATCGCCACAATGCAGTGTCTTTCGATGATGATGTTTATTTGAATCTTTGATCATCCGCAAATAATTATTTACATACTTCTGTATTTTCGAGCACAGGAGTGAACATACTGCACTTCATATGAAATATTAACTAGTTCAATAACTGAAGTACATGTACTGACAACATACTATGTGCAGTTTATAGAAATTTTCGAGTAAAAAATATCAATTACAGCTTTCAAAAAATGAAAAAAAATAATGTTATTTTTACCCATGATATTATCGATATATTTGTTTTTGTACAGTAAGCTGTCACACATGTATATCCAAAATCATCATAAAATGTTAAATCAAAGATTAAAATTTATCAACTCAGTTTTAATTAGGATTTTATTTATTGAGTTTCAATTTTTTGATTTTATTTTTAGGTTTCATTAAACCTAAAAATTAAGGTGTTTGGTTAATGATGTTGTAGGTTTTTTTTTTTTTTTTTTTTTTTTTTTTTGACGTGTAGGAAAAGTCCAAAACTTAGACGAGCTCCTTTGGTTAGTGTACTGAAAATCATTTCTCAACCTTCATAGATCAACTTTACGAAGGTATTTATAACATAAAGCATTAATGCTGTTACGTTAAATAAAGCATTAAAACTTTTGTGGAATACACGAGAGTCGCGATACCATCTAGCTGTTTCTTAACTTAGACAAGGACGAAAATACAGAGTAAATCTAAGCATACTTGCTATAAAGAATACGTATTCAGGAATGTAACGTATGACCTAGCGTTGTAACTCAAGTGATTAAGTTACTGAAAATTTTAGTAGATACTGGAGAGCGAACAGATAAAGATATTGCTGTCTTATTAGATATTTCGTAATGGAACGAATAGGCTCATTCTGCGTTCAAGAAACCAGGTTACTCCGAAAAAAGTATAAGGAGGGGAGAAAATAACATCATTGGTTGTACGTGCAAGATTAGATTGAATAGCAAATGTAATTATTAAGTAAAATTAAAAATAAACATCGGGAACACCTTAAACAAATATTAGTAATATTGTATTTCAGGAAAACTAATCTAACCTTTTCACTTTTCTCGATTACTCGATGACTTTTAATGACACACAAAGAAAAAATAATTATGGCGACAACACTTTCAGAGCTCATTTCAGAGCTATTTCAAAATAATGGTAGGAATTCATTTGCATGATCTGACATAATTTAGAAATCAAGAAAATCAAGAGTCAGATAAATGAAGAAAAATGCAATAATCAAAATAAAAAAGAAGTCTGCTGAAAACTTGAATATAATGTTCCAAGCTTGGTTACTGATGAATGCTGGAATTTCTAAGAATTTTAATTGCCATAAATACAGTTAAATAAAGCATACTTCGATTCAATGATTACACATTCCTCGTACACTCTTACACAGATTTAAAGAAGTATTCTCCCTCCTGAAATGAAAACTTATGCTAGCGTATTCTTAATAGTGGTACAACTGAAAACTGGAATTCAAAATCATTGGTTCTTGCAATGCTTCCCATTGATATTTAAAATAATTAAAAACAATTTCTTACCACTGAAATATTAATAAAATTTACCAAGTGCTATTTCAAATGAATACTGAAACTCTATTTGGAACAAGATGCTATAAAATTAACAGTTCTGTTTATAAGTGGCTGTTGAGTTTTTCGCCTTATATTGAAGAAATTGATATTGTGTAGGAACGACATCGCGTAGCATTCATATGGCATAAAATCAACACCGGCGTATTATTAATAATAAGTAAAAGGATTAACGCTCATTTCTACGGTTGATAGCGTAAACTTGAAACCGGCCTAGCATCCATAAGATCGATAGGTACAGGTAGCACCTAGGTCAGCAACCTTGCAGTAGCGCAGGTAAAAATTGAGGTATTGTTGAAGATAGCTAACTGTTAAGCTTGCGGCCTAGTTTTGAGAAAGAACATCTCGAAGGGCAGTCCAAGGGTCTCCAACCCCCTTTTTCTACCATCAACCTCTAGAGAGGACTTTCGGCTCACCGTGTATTTTGAGCGCCCTCCGCGCAGCACGGACGCTATATAATTACAAACATCCATGCCTTCTCCGAGATTCAAACCCCATTCCATTGGTACAAAGCCACTACATGAGCTGAGCAGCCTTGCATAAAATCGACACAGGCATGGGACCGACACTGCCTAGTATCAACCGCGGCATAGGATCGGCAGTGTGCAGGATTGACCCGCACTACAATAACATTCGCTTTCACAAGTTCCATAATTACAGGGAATTGTAATTACATACGTGTTACGCTTTCTTATGGTCAAGCACAAAGCGGCCTGGGCCTAACTGAGAAACCTCCGCACTTGGCGGGAGGTGGGTCATCCAGTCAAAAGACTCGACAGGAAAGAAGTATGCCAATCATGCATCCGCCCGGTGGCCCAACCCAAGACGGCGGATTTTAAAGAGTTTCTTTCAAACCACAGCTGAAGTGAACAACATTGGTCACCATCCCCGGTGCCCAGTGGCGGAAACTATGAAAGTGTGGAATTCTGATTGGTCTTTAAAAATGCTACCTATCAGCACTACGCATACTAGAATCTGTCCTCTGTGGACCAACTGCAATTAAGAGTGCAGGATAGTTACCTCTCTCCTTACCAAAGGCTCCCTCACTTCTTCTAGTGGACCAACCGGCAGGCGGAGTGCAAAGTTATTACCCTTGTCTACACAAGTTCTGCATCTTCACCAGTTCCTCTCGGTTCAACCGTATGAAACGATCTTCCCTTGCGTTCTGAAACTAGCGCTAGGTTCGTTATTTTTATCCTTCGGTGCCGATACTATCAAGGTATAGATCCTAGCTAGCACAATAAAAGACATCTGGGGGATAACTAAAGGAAAATAGTTTGATTAAATGAATATTTCTTAGATACTTATATAGGATCAACACCGGCATATTAACGATACTGGGACAGAACTAATATCAGCAACTGACTCAGGTTATTGAGATGCCTTGTTGATGGGTGTTCGCAAAGATATATTGATCTTAAATAATATCTATCCTATGGCACATTTATGGTTTTTCAACGTGGTGGGAGGAAGTATTTTCGAGAGCTGGGGGAATATCCATTAACTACAAGATCTTTGATTAACTCTAGGAGTGATCTAAGTAACGTTCAGAGCTCAGTGAAAGCCCTGAATCTACAAGAAGCTATAAATATAAATAGAACAAGAAAAAGGATTTCCCTTTATAATATTTAAAAAGTCCGCCACGAAGGTAACCCTTCCCTCAGGTAGATAGCCCTCGTATGCTCTGCCATAATTCTAATACCCCAGAAAATACATTTTCGTGCGCCTCTTGATTTTCATCTATTTATATTAACTACTTTGCTTTGGATGGTTCCTTATCCTGACTTTGACGTTATCGCAAATCGTTTCTACATGAACAGACAATTTTATTTTTCATAAGCTTTAAATGGTTATGTTTTACTATGTGCAAGAAAGTCAAAAGATTTCACTTAAGATTTCTGTTAGAAGATTCCAATAAGGTACCAAATGTGGGCGGAGCCCGACCCTAATAATTGCCCGATTTTCAAATAAGGTACGAAATTTTCAAAAGTCATCCCCCATTTAGGACTAAAACTTTCGTTTAAATAAACGTTTTTGAAGTACAGCTTGAGAAATCATTTTGTAATTAATTCACTTCTTTCATTGCTCTGAAATTTCAGAACCATTGTGAATAGAATATTGAATCTCTAATAGATAACTCGTTTGATCCATAATCAGATTTTATTTTTAACTCAAAACGTTCCGTACAATTATTATTAGGATACTAGTGGTAATAATCTACTATAAATTTAATTTCTAGTTTTATTTCATTCTCATTGTCAAATCAATTTTTAATTTTTGAATTATTGTCATATATCTTTGTGAAAAATATCCGTAAAGAACACCAACCTGTTTGCACTTTTCCCTTCATCATACTAGAGTTCTTACTTTTGTCAAACCTGCAATAAAAATAGTATATTGTTACAGACAGAAACATAATGAGATTTATAAAAAGACTAATCCCAAATGTCGAACAACACGAAGAAATAGATCAGATATAAATTTAATAATAAGATCAAATTGCATTAGAAACTAGTCATGCCGCTTATCATGCCCTCTCCCATCCACGCTCTCATATCGTAGATCAAAAGAATGCAAATATGATATTCAAACCTCAAGATATTTTTGTGTTTCCCGAAACATACATAAGCAGTTAGACAACATAACAACCGTCAGAATATAAAGCAAACGAAGAAATTAGGTGAAGTGAAAAATGAAAAAATAAAAAAAGTGAAAAAGATAAAAAAATGAATAAATCCATTCGATAACAGAATTGTCTATCACACGCTGTATCAAAGGGGGGACGCAGTGCATGACATACACTTGATCATTACTAGTCATGTTTCTCAGTGTGCAGTTTGTATATTATGCAATTTGGGAGGGGAAGGTCAGGCTATTTCAATATAGCAAAGCACATTAGGACTAAATGCCTGATAGGAGGGATGCCTTCGCGGATTTTCTAAAGGAAACTGTCTCGCATTCATCACATGCAAAAAATATGAAAACGCAGCCAAGAAAGGAGGTAAAATAATCTCATTAATAGTGCCAATATAAAAGTTAACTCCCCGCACCAAGGCCTAATAACAATTGATAAAAAATTACTGATGAATTCATAGTTATGAATGCGCGTAAATAGCTATTAAGTACGTCGATTGTCGGAGGGGAGAGACCTAATTGCTCAAATAAAACTGTCATATTCTGATGGTTATTTTATTATTGACATATAAATGTATGTTTCCAGCAGTACCAAAAAAAATCTTGAAATTTCAACTATGTCATTTGTATTCTTTTGCGTCATTTTAATCTATATTGAAATTTATTTTACGCTATTGCTTATAGTACGTATCGTTTCTCCCCTTTCAATTTTCAGTGTTAATTAGCCACACATATAGAGCACATACATAGACGTAAAGTTTGATGGCTAGTCGGTTGTTAGCTGATTAATGCAAAGCCCTTAAGGGATACTTGCAGAAGAGGAGGAATGCCCTTTGTAGAAGATTTGCTAAAGGAAACTAACTAATATTTATGTTACACATGATTTGTATTCCTTACTTTTCTTCGCGATTTGAGAATATCGTCGTTTGACTTTTGAAGAACTCACAATGTATTGTGCATTTAAATATCTGTGAAAAAATATTCAAAGAAACCTAGATTTTCAAAATGGAAAAATAGCTGGGATTGTCTAAGCAGAAAAATGATGATTCGCAGGTGATAGATCCAGAACAATCTACTAGCATTAGGAATATTGAGAGAAAAAAAAAATGTTTATAGAAAATATAATGAAAGTTACTTATCATTTGGGTTCACTTGGAATGGAGATGAAATGGACCCTTAGCCTCAATGTGTTGTTTGCGGTAAGCTATTATCGCTTTCCAGCTCCCATAGGTTTGGTAAATGTGAGTTGTTTCACTGGGTATCAACAAAATTTCTCAATGCCCCACTCCTATAAAAAGTCCTAATATTCTAGGTTTCAATAATCAAATCCATTTTCCTGCCACGTCGCTTGGGTGAGATCCATCCAGCATTAACTCCTTGAGATTTCTGGACAGGTAGATTTTACAAGGTGGGGTTGTCAACTTCACGTTCAACTTCCCAACCTGGAGGACAGTCTCCTGATATAATTCCCAGGGGCAGAGTGCCAGGCTATACCCCCGGGCCCCCTGGCCCTGGGAAAAAATTATCGGAAATAAGAGAAAATAGTGAACAAGTAATGAGAGGTTTCGTTACTTCAAGTGAAAAAGCTTCGGAAGCTAGTTACTTAGTAAGACTTACTTAGTACTAAGTACTTAGTAAGTCTTACTAAGTAAGTTACTTAGTACTAAGTACCTAAGAATTGCCAAGACTGAGCAGGCTCTCACTATTGGGGAAAAACTTATATTACGAACAAATAACAATATCGTTTTGACATTATTCAACGAAAAAGCAGCTAATGAACTTAATAATATTCTGCTATTAAATGGTAGAGTAAATCCACGAATTCATGAAATGGCAAATTCCATAAAAGAGACACTTATTCAAAAAATAAAACATGGTAAATAGTAAAGTAGTAAGAATTTCGCTTTGCAATTGGATTAAAGTACTGATATAAGGAACTACGTTCAATTACTAGTTTACCTACGTTTCGAAGAAGATAAACAAACGAATTGCCGAAGAGTATTTATTTTGTGAATCTCTTCATGATAGAGCAACTGCAAATGAAAATTTCAAAATAACTAACAATTTTATGTTTGAGAATGATATTCCTTGGAATAAGTGCATTGCCGTATGCAGTGACGGAGCTCGGGCTTTAACAGGAACACATTCCGGTGTTATTTCTCAAATAAAGAAAGCTGCACCTGAAACTAAATTTATTCACTGCTCCATTCATCGTGAAACTTTAGTAGCTAAAACAATCTTTGAAAACCTGAAAATCGTTTGAATCAAGCTGTGAAAATTGTAAAATTTATTAAAAGCCGAGCTTTAAGTTCAAGAATATTTACGATTTTATGACAAGAGATGAGCAGTGAACATGAAACGCTTTTGTTACAATTCTGGTGTAACGTGGGTTATTCAGAGGCAAAATTTTAAATTGTCTATTGTAACTTCGATAAGAAATTTAAATTTTCTTCTGTGATTCAAAATTTGAATCGCAAAAATGTTTATTTAGTGAATTATGGTTAGAGCATTTAGCATATTTAGTTGCAATTTTTGGAAAGTTAAATGAATTAAATTTAGGACAAAGCGTCAATTATTTTACCTTTAGAGATGAAATAAATGAAATGATTAAAAAACTCCAGCTAATAATCGAAAAATTGAATAGTAATATTTTAAGCATTTTACCACATTTAGAAAGTTTTCTAACCAAAAATAATTTGAAAATAAAAGAAGAATTAGAATCTGACATTAAAAATCATTGATGAATAATTTTAACATGTATTTTCGAGAGGATTTTGAAAAAATAAATTGGATTAGAAATCGATTTTGTTCAGATGTACCTGAAATTTTGTCTTGTGAAGAAGAACACTTGACAGAAATTTCCTGTGATCGAACTCTAGCTGAAGATTTAAAAAATAACATACTTGTTAACTTTTGGCTGAACCGAAAAAAAGAATTTAAAGGCGTTTCAAATAAAACTATTAAAATTTTATTGTTTTTCTTTTGCACAATCTATTTGTGATAACAAGGATTTTCTTCCATGTTGTATTTGTAAAATAAATACAGAATAAAATTAAAAGTGGATCCTAATTTACGATTAAAACTAAATGAAATAAGACCAGACATAAAGAACAGGCCCAAATTTCACACAGAAGTTTAGAAGTTAAGTATTATAACTTAACGTTTGATAACTAAAATGGTAACCGATTTTTGTATCTGATATTTTTTATGTGTGAATATTTAATATAAATAGCCAGTAGGTTGGGCAAGGGGCAAAATATTTTTTTAATATTTCTATTGAGAAATTGAAAAATAATCACTGTAAAATATAGTGGTGGTATTTAAGTTTTTTCAATCTTTGTTTAGGTGGTTTAGCGTTAGTCAAGAGATTGAGAACCGCTGCTCTAAATCACATGAATAGAACACAATAATATAAATTTCAAGTCACGTGATCTAAAGTTCGGATAAATTATAATTGAGCTAATACATTTTTGTTCTTGTAATATTACAAATAAGAAATGGTCACGAGCAAACTGTTTTTATCCGTTGAGAAAATAAGTTAAAACAAACAGCCATTCTGTTTTTGCTGTCTTTAAGAGACATTTTTCCAACTAGGATTGATTTTATTTATAAGATGAGAGTAATTTAGATGATAATGAATAGACGAAAAAAAAAAAAAAAAGGAAAGAAAGAAAAAAAATATTCGTATAAAAACTCATTTAATTTGGATGGGCGAAATTTGCCGGACATCTACCTTAACTGTTGTGAAGGTAAACTGTAGCCTGAAATATGTTCTGTTTCCTGGAAAGGCGCAATCAAACCGAAATAAAAAATATTGAGGTCATCTAACTAAGGCCACGCGCCGGGTTGTTTAATTAGAGGATTTCATTCATCACAGTCAAGGTCAAAGAATTGCTGCAGACGATTGAAAGAAATAATGTTTTCGTGAAACGAAGAAAGGAGTAAAAGTTTCAACTCTTGAAGTTAAACATAATGAATGCAAGAATTCTTATACCCACTCGTAAGTGCAAATAAATTACAGTGTTAGATATGGCCAATATATGGCTGTTTGCATTGGCAAGGTGAAACAAAGGTGTTCAAATAGTTATTCTTAAGCTTCAGCGTATACATTCCTTACGATGGTAAATGCGTAGGAGGAGGTGAAACCCCCTCAGGTGTTTATACAAAATTTATGGTGTTATAAAAAGAGAAATTTAACATTATGGAGTTTCGATATGCACCTAGTCGAAATTCATAATTTCTAGTTTAAATTACATTCTAGTTACGTTACGTATACTTTAGTTGGTGTTAAAAAGCCCGTGAAAATGGCAGAGTGGGGGGGGGAGACACGCTTCTTCCATTAGCTAGGTGATATTCTCGACTAGATAGAAAGGGAAGGTTTGATGAAGTTATTACGTAGCGTGTTCAAGCTAATATATCGTCAAACAACCGAGATATGACGTATACATTTACATCAAGGATCCACAAACCTTTGGTCCTGTACTAATCACTTTATTCTTTTAACTGACATAAGCTATATTAAGTCATCACTAAGGAATATTTAGTAAGATAAAAATTCATAAGATAACAGAAAAGTCTTTAATAAATGTATTTTAGTTTTCCTTTAATAAAGTACATGCTATTTGAAACTGGCAAAACAAGATTTTATTCTTCATTTTCATATGAAATATAGCTTTCGAAAACTTTTTAAGCAGCAAAAAATATCTGGGTTAAACGAACTCGCTCATTCAAGGCCTTAGTTAAAGCATGACAATGGAGGTTAATAGTCATTTTTCTTTATTAATCCAGGCAAAAAATATAAATAAAAAAAGGGAGTAACAATTGTTTTCATCTGGCTTACCTGAGTGACACCGCAAAGAAATTCAGAATCTGCCAAAATGCTTGTGTTGTTGCCAGGAGATTATCACTTCCTGTGTCTGAGAAACTTCTTTTAGATGCTAGAAGGGATAGAAGTAGACTTGTTTTGAAACAAGGCCCTCAAAGTGGCGACTCATTGCTCGACGTCATTCTACTACAGATGCACCCTTAGTAAACAAGATTTGGCAAGCAAACGAAGACATTTCCCTCTTGATCTTTGACTGCCCTTGATAGGTTAAATTGTACTTTTGCTTTGTTAAAGATAAAATGTTACCAGGTGAACGCTCGACGAGGAGAAAACATAGGAAATATTATAGAACATTTTAACTCACAAAATCCATTATAATGATAGATTTATTCTGATCAGATTTAAGCGAAAGTAAATTGTGTAAAAATTGTTAAGATATATGTCTCGATGTGCCGGATTATAATTCGAATATTTTAAACCTGATGTTGTACAATTTAATCCCACTGTAACGCGGTTTTCGCGGTGAAAAAATAAAACCGTTATGTAAGCTGATCGTATTAGTCAATTTTAGGAGTTTTTCTGAATTAACACAGTTACTATCATTTCACATGCCTCCTCTTTTTGTGCCTAACAATTTCAGCTCCATGGATTAAAAATACACAAAAACAAGTTTACATGTTAAAAATGTTAAATATCGCGAAAGATGTTTTGGAAGTAAAACGAGAATAGATCTCATGTATTTGCAATGTAAAATGTCAATATATGTGCGGAACTTTTTAACAAATACACATTTCAGTTTATGAAAATTGGAAGTCATGATTGCACTCTCGTTATAACATTGCAAAATCTCGCTATAACGAAACTGAATGGTTTATACTAGTTCATATTTCCGTTCGTGTGCAAAATTTGTAGAACAAACATCAGGAGATTACATGCAGCAGCGTTTCGCTTACTCTTCTAGGGTTTAAATAAAACATTTTTGCTCAAATAGTTTAAAGATTTTTATTCTGGTACGAAAACCATGTGCAGTTTAAATGAAGAATTAAATTTCAGTAAACTGTAAAAAAGAATCAACAGAAAATAAGCTTAGCATAAGAAATAACCATTACAAAAATTACCCATCTAAGTATAATTTCAATATTCCGAATTTTATTGCACATAACTTTTTTCAAAGTATATAATCGGAAATTATATATATATATATAATTGAATACTTTGAAAACGTTGTTGTTTTTATTTACAATTTTTTTAAACTTAATTTTTCTTCAATTTTCAGTCTACCGTCTATTCTTTTTTTACTTCCTTGTACGAAGTAAAAAGGAAGTATTGTAATCGCGAAAAGCTTCAGGCAGCATATTTCAACGAAAATATCCACTTTGACCGCTTTCGAATGAAATTTAACGATGTTTTGCGTGATATCTGTACGTAAGGACAGAATAAAAGACTCTTTTCCTCCAAAAAAACTAAAAAACTGCTTTAAAATGAATTCTGAAGAGAATTTTTCGTGGCGTCTGTACGAACGTATGTACGTACGTGCGTACGTACGTATCTCGCATAACTCAAAAACGAGTAGCCTCAGAACGTTGAAATTTTGTATATAAGACTACTATAACATGTAGATGTGCACCTCGTATTTTGGTTTCAATCGGCCGCGCCAAACGTATATAAATATATTTATAAATATATCCATTCTGTTACCCGGCTCAGTGATCTGTTTCTTTACTCTTATATGTTTGTAAATTGTACATTTTTTGCTTTAAAAATGATTGAATTATGTTGTTTTTATCTTCCGGTTAAGGGTTTTATGCCTTTAGTAAATCTGTATGCAATATTTTTAGAATTTTCAACAATTTTAAAATTGTTTAAGTGCCGCTAAGCCTAATTTGATGGCGGCCATTGCTCTTGTTTACATTTGAAACAGTTGAGTAGCGGATTTGTTGCCAATCTAGAGAAACTTAGCTTCGCAACAATAAGATAACGCCTTCATTTATTATTTAAATCATGCTTAATCCTTTCTGGAATTTTTTCGAGGAAATAAGCGTTTAAAGATTTACTTCGTAATTTTTAATACAGATATTTTGAGTTTTTATGTATTTTTGCCTTGTCGCGAATTAATTGAATGAGAAATACTCAATAGTCTGTAAATAACTGTTTCATTTTTGTTTTGTTTGCTTAATTTCTTTTATACATCTTTCTAGCTTTATTATAGTATTTGAATAGAACATGTGGCAACGATTAAATAATTCTTTAAATGATATAAATTTTGTGCATTCCGAGTTATATTATGAATGAAATATAATACTGTTAAGTAAACCTAGCGCCAGAAAAGTTATGGTAAACAAAGTGAATTTTTAAAGAATGCATTTATTCTATTGTGGTTTATGCGCTGCCGGCGAAGTAGGTTTAATTCAATCTAATAAGTTTAAATAAAATGCAAGAAAAAATGAGTATAATTTAATATTCCGTACAAGGAAGTCATGTGGTGTACACATCAGATTTTTTTCATTTAAAAGAACTATTCGCTTAAAAGAATTCTTTTAATAACAAAAGCTCATTAATGGAAACCCGAATAACATGAAAAGCAAAAAATGTCCTTTATTAAATTTGTAAGAATAAATATATATAGAAAACATTAAGCTGAACTGAATTTACTAAGAAAGCTGAGAACGAAATACTAATTCATGATATAAAGCTATCATAGCAAAATGAATTAATTCTTAAAAATACAGGGGGGACCTTTAAATTCTCTTTTGGTAAAACTGCGAATTTACCAAATTAATAATTGTCATGAACCTTCTCTTACTTTTATGAAAATCAGGTAGTAATTTCTCATGCAAATCAAGGGAGATAAGTAGTAAGTAATCAAGGGAGATAAGTAGTAAGTAATCAAGGGTAAGTAATCAAGGGAGATAAGTAGTGTGGTAAGGAAATTTGCTACATGTTTTCCTTGTCTGTCTGAACAAAAGTGACGCCTTCCGGAAAAGTACTTAATTTAAAATACTACAATACACGCTGGATTTCTCCTTTTGAACATTGCGAAAGGCGTTCGAAGAAAATCTAGTAATTCATATTAGATAATTTAGCAATACTGACTGAACACTCGAGCTCTTTGATGCAGTTTTCAGCACTATTTACAATCAGTGGGAGGATACAAAGTTACTATCAGAACGTGTTCAGGGCCAAAAGGATAGTCAAACTTGTGAATGTAAGCAACAGAAAATGTGAAGAAGACTATAGCACGTAGCTGATATAAAATGTGCAATGCTTGACCCTTAAAACCTTTAGGATCTATAAATAGGAAAGCATACGACATATCGGGGGAAGGAAAGAGGAAACTCCATAAAGTAGCCTATCAGAAATGGCAGAACTACAAACTTTCAGAAGCCTTAGCTACACGATGACGGAAGAACATACTAGTCGTGGTGAAATTTAGAAGAAAACTATCTTTTATTTAAACTACATACAAAACAAGCATTACTTCTTTAGTCAGACAATTTTTAAAACAACCACTGATGGTAACACAAAATTAATAGGGTTTTCAGTAGTTCGATGGTTCATGAGAAGCTAACATAACTCGCCTGGTAGAAGAGTGATTATTCAGGCCAATTTCTGTCCAATGAAGGTAAAAATCTTCAATCCTTTCTTAATGCGCATGCTTATTTAACAAATTTCTGCTAGTGAAGTTTTGTGAGATCAAGAGCAAACACCCATTATTTCATAATTTCTATCCTTCCCTTCTTCCAGAAACTGATAATCGAAATGAACAAGCAAAAGTAGATAACGGGCTGAAAATTAAACTAAATAAGCGTAAGGCATAAAAATATTTTTTATTTACGTTTTATATTTATTTGCTTACACGACTTATCATATTTACTTTATCATTCTGATAAGAGTTACAGATGTAGCTAAAGAAAAATTTTAGATAGATACTTACATATACATCAATTAACAGATTTCTTTCTTATCATAATAGAATTCGTCCCAAAATATAATTTGAGTAAGCAGCACTGTGGAATGCTAGAAAATAACGTTCTGTATGGGATTTATTATGTAGGTACTATGTACCTGATTTTATGAAAAGATATCTGTAAGGCATATATTGGAATTCTGATTATAAATAGCATAAAATATATGCTTAATACTTCCTAACAGGGATTTTTTCGTTTTATGTGAACATTCTCAGAGACAGACGGATGATCCTTCAAATTTAATATGCCGAGCTCGAATTGAGGGAGATTGTAGAGAGGTATTTTACCTTGTTTCAATAAACTTCAGCATATTAAGAACATATTAATTAAACCTTATTAAAACTAGTCTTAGCATAAACAGCAAAGATAGATTAAGCATGGGTAGATTCTTAGCATAAACCGCAAAGGTTGAATAAACATATTTAGATCACCTCTACGGGAAAAGGAATAGTACGTGCCCCGATAGCTTGCAATCAAATTTCAATACATCATTTAGCCAGCATTTGTTATTCAAGTCAGGAACAAGATTTACTCACCCAAAGAACTATTTAAAACTTTTTATTTATTTATTTCTTTAAACCACATACGAATTGCAAATTTCTGCCTCATCGGAAGTTGCACGTCATGTTTTGTTATAAAAACATCATCATGTTATAAAAACATCAACGAGCCGTCCAACCAGTATAATGGTTAGCGTCGCTGACTGCCGTGCCTAAGGGCTCGGGTTCGGATCCCGGAGAAGGCATAGATATTTGTAAATGTATAGTGTCCGTGCGGCATGAGGGCATTCTAAATATGCGGCGAGACGAAAGTCCTCTCGAGAGGTTGCAGGCAGGGAAAGACGGGTGAGAGAACCTCGGACCCGTCCCCCTAGTGTTTTCTCCGTCAAAACTGGGGGCAGAACTGAGCTAAACCGCACTGTCACCTGTAAGTGTGGTCAAGGCTGTTGCCAACGGCAAGCGTAAACTGGCGCTCCTAGCCACGAGGAATTTCGTGGGCTTGCGCTGACTATAGGTCAGACAAGTGAGCATTAGCAACAACAACAACAGCAGCATCAACGAACTTTCATATTGCAGTTTAAATTTAAGTGCGAGATGTAAATAATTTTTGTCTTATGCATCCTTATAGTACAGTGGTTAGCATATTTAATCAGTAACTGAAAGGTCTTGGGTTCAATCCTCGGCGAAGACACGATTAGTTT